TGAGGGACAGGCAGCGTTGTAGATACGGTCAAGAGGCGAGGAATAGCGAACAGGAAACAGGAGATGGAATTAAATAAATAAGGGGATGCATTACCCAGAGTGGGAATTTTGAAAAGAAAAATATATACCGAACCAGCAGATTTTCATCACGAGTGCAAAGAAGACAAAACTAACCCGGAGATTTTTTTTTTTTTTTTCCCTTTTCTTGAAGTGGTATAACATTTGATCTTGGGATGCCTTATATTGCGACTTATCAAGTTCGCGATATGGTATTTACAACGGTGGCCGATTCGTTTCATCTCTTCAACAACCAACGTTTATCTCTGGCTTGTTTATTTTGTCTTCCTGCGGCGCATGAAAACAACTTTATGTTTAGGGGCAGACTATGATGACATATAGACGATGGGTGGAAATTTGAAGGGTAATATGAGGGAATGGTATGCAGGAAAAACGATCTCCTTCGAATGTATCACTCTCTTTCCACCCTGCTGCCATTTAGGAGCGGTGGTGAGGGTGGTGCAATCTCTCTAACCTAAAAAGAGGCGTACAAAACCTTTAACAACCATCGCCTTCTTCTTCCCCCTACCTCTGATTTACCTTGCATCCAAACCAACATTTCATATCATCAATCAGTTCATTCAACTTGTATCTATCTAGCCTGTTGCTTTTCCGTACTCTGTTATCTGTCACACTCTAAATCTCCTTTCTCCTACGTCTGCTTTTATTTTACGTCTTTTCTCATGGCATTTCTTTTTCTGTCATTTCCTTCGGTCAATTTTAAACCATGTAGCCCTACTTACACCTCAAATTACACCTTTGATATTCAATATTTGAAATCTGGCATATGTTTCTCCTCATACACACACACACACACATACCCACTTATATATTATCGCCATACGTCGAGATTCAGTTTATCCATGTTACGTCAAATGCTCTTCCTAAATTCAGGTTCCCATTTTTCACAACGTCAATTATTACATCTACACAAGCATTTGGGTTCAGAGGTGTGCAGCCGTTTTATGGCTGATTACGTGCAAACCATCCCACAACGTATGCGTGTGCATGTACATATCGAATATATCTGATATGGATGCAATCTTATGAAGAAATACGTATATTTAAATGCTGGCGTTCGGTTGGACAGTACGTACGTATAATGTTTTGTGAGAGCATGCATAAGAAGATGAGAATCATGACTCGCGTAGGTGACGGGAGAAAGTAGTAGAAGTACGTTCATATTGAGAGGGTCTAGTAAGGAAATTTACTTAGGTGGTATATGGGCGGTTGGTTGGTTTGAGGGGTTGGAAAGAATGGGGAGAATGTGCTGAACAAGGGGAGGGGGGTTGAAATGATTCGGGTATACTAAAGTGTCGTGATGGTGAGGGAATTGCCCTCCTGGAAACCAAGATGATAGATTATTTTAAGAAGAGGGGTGCGCAAGTTTTATTTCACACTACTGCTTGATATCTTGCGAAGTGCCTAGGTTTTAAAAGGAGTATGATGATTTTCTTGGTTATAAGAAAATATATCAAAGGGATAAAATCAAAAGAAATTGAAGAGAATGATTTTTCACCATCGGGATTCCTGAAATTGAAGATTCGTATGTCAGATATACACACCATAGGCGAGGAGAAGGATGTATGCGGTCCAAAAGGAAAATAAAAAAAGCTGAGAAAATAACATACCTTCGCCTCTCTTGCAGTCTTCAAATTGGTATTAAAATCGCGCCAGAGCCGATTAATCTCCCCATCTTCCTCCATCGCATCCACCACCTGATTGGAGTACTTGGTTCGTCGTTTGTGACTCCAGTGCTCGCGGCCCAGGACCTCGTGGTCGGCAAATACTCCCTTACGCCGGAGGTAGTCGATTATCCACTCGTTGAGGTGATAGCGCCAGTGGATGAGTGTGTGGGCCATTACGGCTTTGGTTTTGCAGTGTCTGAGTGAGACAGATGGTGGTGAGTTAGTATATGGGGAATTTGGAAGGTTAGGGGGAATAGAAGTTTTATTTTTGGTATTGATTTAAATACCTTCCTAGGTAAAAGTGGATGCTGGCATCCGGGATCTCGTTGCCCTCCCGGTCTATATTTCCTGAACCAGGACGCTCGCTGCCCTCATCGGCATCCGTATCGCCCTCGACGCTATCCGATCCGTCCGATTCGTCGTCAGAAATGGGATCTAGTGTTTCGAGGAGGTAGGGTTTGCCATCGAATCTGATATCGAAGGAGGCGGGATGGTTGGTTTTGTTACAGGCGTCGCAGGAATGACCCAACGAGAGGGGGTATCCCGAGACATAGATCCCTGGCCTGGCTTCAAGAGATTTTCTAAAGTCTCTGTTCCAGGCTGAAGATATAAGTTGCGATCCTGCAAGACCTGTGACTTCGTCCTTGACTTTGCTGAAGGCAACACGGTAGACGACATCGTCACGCGGGAATGCGGGGTTCAGTTTGTTGTGCACCATCCACTCAACGACGTCTTTAAAATGATCTCTTAAGCGCTTGTATCGGTGTCTTGTAAATTCGAATGGGATATTGTTGAGTTCGTCAGGGGCGCCCAGTGCTCCCTCATCATCTTGGTCGACGAAATCTTCATCGTACTTGTCAAGGTCTTCTGGGACGGGAGGCTCAATGTCGCTATCCTCATTCTGATTGAACCATGATCCCTCTTCTTCCTCTTCTGAAGGAGATTTATTTCCATTTGGTTCTGATTGCGCCGCCTCAGATTCATCTCCGGATGAGTTCACAGACACCACTTCCGTTTTTTCACCTGCCCTTCGGCGTCTGAGAACCTCCAGCTGACTTTGACGCTTCAGCTTAGCCTTGTCCGCCACCCCTCGACGAGTCCTTGTCCTTGTAGTTACTGTAGCCAAATCTTTTAGTTAAAATATTAAATAAACCACAAAAAAATTTATCGAATCCATACCAGAATCGCGAAGATCCTCAAGATCCTCCTCTAGATCTAGCTTATCTTGTTCAGCACGGTTGCGTGGAGTCTCTTGTTTCGCAACATCCGGCTCTACGTTCCATCTTCTCCGTTTCGCTGGTGACGAGCAGAAAATTTCGTCAGACTCCTCCCCGTCATCGTCACATTCATCCTTGATAACCAACGGCTTTAACGGCCCACCACGGAAGGACAGAGTTGAGTCTTCTTTTCTAACCTCAGGTCTCACATACCGTCTCCTCCGTTTCACGGGTGACGAACAGATAATATCTTCAGACTCCTCTCCATCCTCCTCATCTTTATCCGCGATTATCAGCCGCTCTAACGGTCTGCGACTGGAGGACGGGGCACGAATAGATTCTTCATCTGACGACGCATCTCCTTGTTCATTTGATTGAAGAGATTTTGAAATTGGTGCCTTCGTTTTCTTCAGTGAGCCGTTGTTACCGGGGGAGTTGAATGTGCTTTTATAGAGCATAGTTGCGGCCCTATCAATGCCAAGACTGAATCCGGGAGAGGAAGATGAGACGGGAGTAAAAGCTAGACGAGTTTGCCGTTCGGCACCCTTATATCTAGTTGGTCGCGCTGAGGGAGGCATGATGAGGCTGCCCTTTGTGTGAATGAGGCGGGGTAAATAGAGAGAGAGACGTTTCCTGTTGCTCACTTTTGGAGGAGTGCTACACTGTGATATCAAATTTGGTTTAGATAATTTTTGTCCCTAGGTTATCTTCACCTTGCAATAGGGAACCGCAGAGCTAATGGTCATCTGGAGAAACCATCCCTTGGGCTTTAAGAGTTGCGTTGTTGCATTATAGTTAATCTTTGATGTTTGTGTCCGCGGTTAGAATTTAAACGCGGTCGCGGTAGTTATTTATCACGTGGTTAAAGAAATTCGATATTACCATATTAGGCATAGGTCGTTCACATTACATTCCTCAGAGTTAAAATCTATATTTTAGTGATATCCAACTTGAAGTCAATTGAAATTTTTCTTTTCAGAGACATGTTCACGGCGCTTCCTCGATGCCTCTCAAGGCCTTTCCATTGATAAAATAGCATCCCCTGGCTCCGGAGCAGCAATCTTCTCCAACTCCGCTAACGAACGGAGCAAGATCTGTTTGGTCTCTGCGCCAATGAAAGACAATCCTGCAGCCACCACTATCAGGTTTTTCTATTCGGTTGACGATGATCTGACCTCGGGAGGGTCTCGAAGCTGTGAGAGGCATGAGAGGTGGTCCAGAAAATGTGAAAGACAAGGGATCCTTTCGCAAATCTCTCTTTTCTTTTAGTTGATTTCCTACCTCAAGCTACGCCAGACAAGGGTACAGGGGTTAAAGTAACTATGATGATGTAAGTGTTTGTTCTTTAATTAGTTAATCAGGTTTTTCGACCAAAAAGTAAATCAATTCCACTTGCCAGGTAGGTGATTGGCTCAATAATGATTTTTCCAAGGTTGAAACATCCTGACGCTATTGTGTGACAGAGGTATCCTGCATTATTCTGGTCTAATATCAATGACCATCGAAGCTGGTTAAACTTTAATGCGGACAGTGACCCCGGAAAATTCGACAGTTGGACCGCAACTATGGATGAACTTGGTCGTGTTTAGTTTTGTTGGTAAATTATCGGAACTAACGAAGCTACATAACCGTGACGTCAAGATTTGCCCCTTGTTGCTTCCACGCTTCTGGAGGCTCGCCCTATATGTTCAGCGCTCTGCCTGCTTATGTTCAGCTTTCGCATTTCGAATTGCTATCTTATTTATTCATGTCTTTTGTGTTCTTCTTTTTGTTCCAATACTTATCTGACTTGAACCTGGACATTCGCAAGTCTCGATACATATCAAGATACCCAAGTGCTGTTTGATCCACCTGAAAAATTAAAACTTATCCGAGTCATTGCGGCTGGTTTCTTCCTGGCACTTTCTTATCATATTTTCCCTTGTTCAATTCCCAGCTAAACTTGCTACTTCAGGCGCCTGTCCCATTTGCTCTTTTAACTTATATCTTAAAGTTATATCTTGAATATTGCGATAGTCGCTGCATTCATTCATTCATCATGGATCGCAGCGCTGTCAATGTGCCTACTGATCCGCAGTTGAAGGAGAATGTACGTAGTAAAACTACAACTTCTTCCAGTCCAATCCTCAATTCTAACTGTAGCTAATAGGATATCAATCGCAAACTACAATTATATGGCATTTACTCTGGTTTGTGGCACCTCTCGACCGTTCAATACCATTGCCCTCTTTCCGTTCATCATCACTAATGAAAATTCGGCTCTAGCATTCAGGAATGGAAAAATCCCATCGGTACGTTAGACTTGTGCAATATCAAGAGCTGAAAACGCTAATCCAAGAATTTAGAATAAACAAATTGATGTCGCCCTGAATAGCCTGTTGGCATCGGAAGCTTTGTCTTCGCCTACTGATAAACTGTCTCCTGAAGGTCAAGCCCTCATCAAAGGTGTGCGAGAAGTGATTGAGAATGCCAAAAGAGTTATCCTGGTTAAAAATCAGGACGGCTTGATGCAGGAGTTTGTTTGGGACCTGGAACATAGTGGAGACCGTTCCGCCCAAGAGACTTCAGAGAGTCCGTTTAACAGAGAGGCCTTGAAAGAAGATCGTTCTCAAGCTGTGGAGGGACTGAGAACTCTAGGCACTCTGTTGATAACCAATGGCCAGTTCCGGAAGCTTCGTATGTATATATTTTCACATCTGTAATGCCGTTCCTGTTGGCCTGCATATTCCTTCATGCTCTGTGGATTAACCGATGTATAGTTCGTGATGCGATGATTTTGATGCGTGATATGGCCAGTGATGTTGCCCAAAGAGCGGCGGGACAGATCAGACCTTCACAGGAGGAGATGGCCGGGATAGACGAACCGGCGGAAAGAAATGTTTGGCACGATAAGCCGGATTTCTCAAAGGACAAGCTAGCGTCTCAGTTCATATCGCAGGCGGGAGAAATGAAGGTGCAGGTAAGCCTGCATAATACCCTCCGCCAATTCTAGGCTAGTCGTTACTTACGCATTCCTAGGCCAAAAGAACTGCCCAGGAAGCGGCGGAGACTGCAGATCAAGCAGCCCGTCCAGATGGTCCGCAGTCTGGCGTTGATGTAGCTTCTGGTGCCACTGCTGGAACTCAAGTTGCCCGTGAAAGAGTATCTGAGAATGTTCCTGAAGAAGCCAAGTCCCAATCCCGCGAATTTACTGAGAAAACGAGGAATTTTCTCCGTGAGAAAATGCCTCAAGAGCGACGTGATCAAACTATTTGGCGATTGAAAAGAACGGTTGTCGAAATACAAGGCCATTCTGAATGTAAGTGGTTACCAAACCTTGAAACTGCCTACGTCATTGCTAAATAGTGTTTGTTATTCTAGACCAGCAAGCAATTGAAACTCTCCTTTCGCTTGTGGAAATTTATAGTGGCCATGGCAAAGATGCCTCTCAGCAGGGGGCTACGATAATAAAAGGTTCTTGGTGAAATCTCCCATTCAAGTTGCGCTCATACTAACATACCTGGTTAAAGGGTTGTTAGAGGAACACAAAGATTCGATAGGGCGGTTGAGGACAATCCTCGAACGTTTCGCGAACAGCACCTCAATGGGCGATCTTCTCGATTACATCAGAGACTTCTATCATGCCGCCGATGAGGATCCTCGATTGAAAGACTGGTTTAGATCGGTGAACACCTTCATCAGGTACATCTTCAACTGCCAATGATCATATTAGGAAAGATAGTTATTCTAACACGACAATTTAGGAAGTGTCTTCGAGAGCAAGGCTATGTTCTGGAGGATTCAGCAAATGATCAATGGAACAGCCTTTATGACGAAGGTCAATTCCTACTTCGTGACCGCTACCGCGATAATACCAATCTCGTAGTGGATGAGATAAAATTCCTTGCCGAACAGTTTGACCAAGACCCTTTGAACAAAGCTTTCAGCAATTCTTTACAAAAGCTTTTCCATGATCTTGGCTATGATGCCAACGGAAAGATGGTTTTTAAGAAACACCTCAGGAAAGATGTCACCGATATTATCCTACCTATCATCTTTGAGAAAATACGCTATGTTCCATTGCCACGCATCGAGGTGTCCGACCCTATGGCCGATGTGGTGAGTGAATCCAGTTTGGACGATTTGAAACTTATGTACTGATCTATTTATGAAGGTGGTCGAGAATCTCGTTATTGAAAGTGACAATCTCCTGCCCAATGCCATCGAGTTTAGTACCGACAACTATTGGCGATGGGGTCGTAAAAAGATTACAAACAAACATACAAATAAGGTATGTGATATTTGTATAGTTCTCCTAGTTTTGTTTGATCTTGAACTAACGCCATATTTAGCTCATGATATCAGCAACAGGAATACAAACCGACTGGAAAGGTATTTCCATTCAGCCCTTTACCAAATCTAGTGGTTTTGATACAGGCTAACAGGCGTGCTTTAGACGTCAGTTACTATATCAAGAAAAAATCAGGTTTCCCATCTATCACCGATACTGGAGTGATGGACATACTCATGCATGGCGAGGGTTTCAGCTTCCAGATTTCGGGGTCTATCATTGAATCACCTGATAGGCTATTCAAACCCGACAAAGTCAAGGTCGATGTCAAAAACCTAGACATTAAGCTCAAGAAGTCGAAACATAAGTTCCTTTTCACGATCTTCAAGCCCCTCCTCTTCAGTGTCGTTCGCACCGCTGTGGAGAAGGTCCTGGAGAAGAAAATCAGCGAAAGTTTCACTAAAGCTGACCAATTTGCATACAACGTCCATAAAGAAGCGCGACGTTCTTGGGAGGCATCGCGCGACGACCAGGATCAAACACACAACCTTTATTCGTACTACGTCGATGCACTACGGAAGCAAATCATGGAGCTCAGGGAGAAAGCCGCCGAAACAGAGGCCGTGAAAAAGCGAGACACTAAAGTCAAACTTGCTGTCACCGCTGCTGACTCTCTTTTCAAGGATATCAAACTGCCAGGTGGTATATCCTCCAAGGCTACAGAGTACGAGGAACTTGCTACCAAGGGTGATAGATGGGAATCGCCTGTGTTCAGCATCGGCGAGGCCAGTCAATCTACAGACTATCCTCGTCTAGCTCCCATTACGCGGAAGACTCGGAAGTCTCTTGGGGACACTAACGGCCAATTTAATCAGCTTGAAGGCAAACGCGCTATTGGAGGAACGAGAGTTGGAGGGCGTCCCCCTGTAGTCCCAGAAGTCAACCTTGGGGTGTAGTGTTGGAGATCAGCCCTCATCACCAAATGTCGACCGACCGACATGAAGCTCCCCATCAACCTATCTAATCCATGCCGCCATGTTGTAATTTTGTTTACTTTTTGGTCTTTCGTTTCCTGTTTCTTTTTTCTTTCTTAAAAGCGTTTCCGCGAATTTTCCAACGCAAACGTTTCGCCGAATGTTAACAAAATTTTAAATTGCCAGGGATCAAGGATTGACAGGGCATTTATCAAACGAAACGATGGGACGATTCACTGAGTTCATACCAGTATCCTAATATTGCCTTAGATTGTTTCCTTTTATATATATACGCTCATTTGGCTATCTTTGTTCAGTGTGCTAATGTTCACAAAATTCGGGGCGCCGATATTTCGATAATATCTCATTTAATAATTTGGAATTTATTACTCTTCAATGAAAATAATATACTTAAATACAAATTACAAGTTTTTCTTGATAGGTGTGGCTTATTAAGTAAATGCATCCGATCTAGTTAAACTACAAAGTCTCAGGCTCCAAGTGCCGAGAGTCGGTTTGTGTTTTTCTATCATCGACAAAGCTTCTCTGGTCTTGACTGTTTTCACGCAGCGTAACTGAGCAGCAGATATGCTGGCATTTCCTTGGATCTCCACTTTATTTTTCAACTTTTCTAGCATACTGCCAATAATTCCACCATACTTCTACTCAATTGAACTTAGAAGAGAATTCTGCGCAACCAGCAAGCTCCCCATATAAACCACTGTTGAGCCCTGGAAACACCCTCTGTAGAAAGAGAAAAAAGATATCAAATCGGGAACGTCAAAGATGACGGTCTCGAAGAACCCAGGGAGCAACAGCAGCAGCAGCAGCAGCACACGCCCCAGCAAACCAGTCTCAAAAACCACCACCGCATATCTGTTACTCTACAATGCCCTCTCCTTCGCTCTGTGGACTACGATAACCGTCCGCCTTATCTCCCTCCTCACCCTTCTCACCCCAACCGACAATGTAGCGCATATATTTGATACTCTTTTCCCTCTCCTCCACTTCGCCCAGTCCCTCGCGCTTCTGGAAATCCTGCACTCAGCGGTGGGACTCGTGCGCGCTTCTGTCGTCACGACCACGTTGCAGGTGGCCAGTCGTATCCTGGTTGTGTGGGGGGTTTTGTATCTTTTCTCTGTAGAGAGGATTGGACGGCAGAAGGGGGTTGTGGGTGCTGGTAATGCTGCTGGTGCTAATGATGTGACGAAATTGGGCGATTGGGCGTTTGTTGGCTGTGTGGCTGCTTGGGGAGTTACGGAGTGTATTCGATATGGCTTTTTTACATTGCAGTTTTGCGGTGCTGCGGTGCCGCGGTGGGTGATATGGTTGAGGTATATTTCTTATTTGTTGTTTTTTCCTCCCACCAACAGTAATTCCCCTGGTGGAGAATGGATTAATTGCAGTGTCCCAGTGATTTGAGAGGGGATAGGAGCCGTTCCTATATTGATTTATTCATTGTGTTTTTCGTAGCTAACGTGGGATTTACGAAAGGTATAATACCTTCTTCATTCTCTATCCTATAGGGATCTCGAGCGAGTGCTGCTTAATTTACAAAGTCATTACGCCGGCAGGGGATATCCATCCAGCTTTGGCCTGGTTCTTTATATCAACTCTGGTTATCTATGTTCCTGGTATGTTTCATAGCGCTGGTTTTGCATGTGCCGGGACTGTTTCTCATTAACACTTTTTATTTTTATCATATAGGTTCGTACATTTTGTATACGCATATGATGTCTCAGAGAAGGAAGGTGATAAGAGCCGCCAAGCAGGCGGATTGATAGACATTATATATTGTACTAGAATATATATAGAATATATGTAATGACATATGTATGATAATGCAGTTTTCCTAGATGTGACAGGGAAGTATTTTTTTGGGACTCTTTCCAGCCCCTTGTGACAATTCTGTTGGGTTTTTTCTTCCATTATTTCTTTTGTCATTTCACATGTCTTTCATAATATCATTGATAGCTTTAACAGCAAACACCTTCCTTTCTGCTTCTGGTAATTCCGCAGCCATATCTGTATATACGTTTTATTAGTCGCATGTGGAGAAGATGAGAGTCAGTCGTGGGAATGGCAGGACAGAAAACAAGTAAACTCCGAACCTCGATTCTGATACCATATTGAATAAGAAAATTAGAAGGGACATCCTTACCTTTAATAGCCTGCATCCTCAACATCAACCCATCCATGTTTTCAATATGACGTTCATCTACATCGCTGTCGTTGCGTATGCCCCCTTCCCCTTCATTATCACCGTTGTGATCACCCCCTTTTTCAATCGCCAACCGCAGGTCAAACATTTCACGTTCTAGTTCACTGACTTCCTTATCAAAACCACTTTCTTCGTCGGACTCGAGTAAGAAGTTCGCAGAGAGGTCTCCATGGTTACTTGAGGTCCACTCATTCGTGTGTAAGACTTCCCTTATTCGTGCCATGCCTTCGAGTTCTGCAAATAGGTTCGGGATTCAGCAGGGAGATGGATAGAAAAGCGCAAGAAAGGTATGACAGATAAATAGGTGAAAATACCAACCTCCAAACACATTCCTCTTCTCCTTCGTCTCCTCCTCTTTTGGATCCCAAGTCACGACTTCCAATTCAAAATGGCCCATTTCAGACAGCTGTTCTTCCCACCACCTAGTGCTAAATTCCATAATCTGTTCTTGTGCATCACCATAGTCACCGTTCTCCAAGCTATCGAGCCCTTCTGCACCACTCCTACCCTTTCCCTCACCCTTTTTACCTCCTTCAATCTTCCCCACCAATACAACTAACCCAGGAACTTCTCCAGCTCCTCCCCGTTCCTCTTCAATCCGATTCCTGACCTCCGCAACAACGCTCAACAGCTCTTTAAGATACCGTACGCACATATTCCCGTTTTCCGTAGCTTGAGAAATGTCAGGGCCACCATTGGGGCGAGGAACTGGTTGTATTATGGCTGGTTTCTCTATGCAGACAATAATAGCCCCAATGACATCCCGTACCTCACGGGCTTCATCAGAAAGGAATTCAGATTTCCAAGTTAAGGAACCGTTTTGTAGGGGAAGCTGGGGTTCTGTCAGTAGAGATATAGATTCTTCGGTGGTAGACTGCGATTGCGGTAGGGATGGTGTGGATATAGGAGGTAAGGGCAGCTCGTCGACCCATATTGGTATATCTGCCGTGTAATATTTTGTCGCTATCTGTAGCGGGGAATGCGTAGTGTATCCAGCGAACGTGGATGATACTCCCGCCGATGTGGCGGGGTCTAATTTAGGTGAAGGGCAAGAGAAACATGATTAGAGAGTTCAGATAATCAATGGGGAGAGAGAATCCATATATTGATTTAATAGGAAATCCATTTAATAGCTCACCTGCCCTTCCATCTAGCTGGACGACGTTCGTAGCTTGCTGCGCATGGGTTACGGCAGCTCCGGTTAGGCTGTGAAGAAACGGAGGGATGATGGAGTGGGATTGCGGTGCGGGAGTTAGAATTAGGAGGCGGCGCGGGCTTGAGATGTTGGGGACTGTTGTCTTATTGGAGGATTTCTTCCCGAGCTGTCGCGGGGATGACATGGTGAGTTTATATAGATGTATGGGAGATTAAGAAAGGTAGGTTAGGATGGGATCAGGATTGCGGGAAGCTGTTAATTAAATAACAACCATATATTCCCATGCTCGTAGAATTCGCTCTGGGAAAGGGTACTGATTGTATTCCGAAGGGGCTAGATGTCAGCTTAGAGGTTGATTGAATTTTATATCCATACAAGTATGAAATAACTACAAGTTTAATATTGTCCAGCCAGTCGTATGAAACCCTGTCGTCATCCCACTTCTTGCGGGGCTGGATTTTGGAGATACTTGCAAAGGAGGATGAGCTCTCATTCACTCGGGAAAATCTCTACAGCGCTACAACCTTCTTATCAAGCTTCAAGAACAAAAGGGTAATAGCATATTTATGCTGAGCTCTTCAATTTAGCTAGCGGCTATTGAAGAATATTATTCCCTCTTTTAAGGGTCTGGTAAGCAAACATTTCTCGCCACTTTTTCACCAGCTAACAACGTCTACTACGTATATTGGGGTCCAATTCCGTTAGATTCGTTTCGGCTTTACTTTTCAGTGTAATTCTCCATTCTGTGAAGATAGAGGACATCACGAAGAAGTCTTCAGAAACAAGGCGCCTGTATTCCAGTGGTCGAAGTCGTGCTATATCTGAAGAGCCACAAGTGTGCAAGTTTTGATTTATCCGTAACAAAATAAAATAAACTCCAAAGCATCCAATATCACGGAAACGAGTATATCTTAACCTCTCCGTTGGCCCCGAGCCCGGTTGACAGTGGCTCTGCCTCGGGCCAAACCGACACCTCTCCCACGTTGACCTCTCGACCGGAACATGGGTGCGTTTCTAACAGTGGAAGGGAATAATTAGTGATGATTTCCAAAATGGAACCGGCTGAATTTGAGAATAAATAGCTAGCTGTCCAAATATAAAGAGAATGGTGGATTATCAGAGTGGTCAACAAAGGAAGGAAACTATTTTGATACCTACCTCAGCATATCTGGTACAATAAAGAATCTCACATGGCTTCCCCGAATATAGACCTGGTCAAGATGCGAAACACGGCCGTCACGAGCTGTAACAGTAATGTCTTTGAGTTGAACGTTCATATTATCTTCGGCTGTGTTCACGTAACTAAAGTTAACAAACTAATCCACAATGCGCGGGCCACAGCTTTTCCCCATCACAATACTCATAAACCAAGGGAAAATAAAAGGGTATAAAACAGGACGTAATCGCGCGCACCTTCAAGTAGCTTTCCTCTGTAGACCTGTCCCGAAGTGATCTCTAGCGTAACAACATGTCCCTATGCGCGCAAGGAGTGGTCAGCAAGCAATCGCTTCAAATGCGGGATATTGAGCGCAATAATAGAGCAGATGATCTTTTCGAATATCGACCAAGAGGCAGGATATTGAAAAAGGAATGTGCGTGGCTGGAAGCGGAACTCACTTGCGCCTCGTTGAGGAGCTTGATGGGTATACCAATCGTACTCGTTAATTTGCCCATCTTGAAAACGACAATGCGCCAAGCTCAGTAAGCAGAATGTGCAATCAAATAAACAAGCAAATATCCTAGGATAAGTCGATAAGAACTGTCCAGATATTGTTTTTTGGGTCAGTTGCAGGTCATGGTAATTATGAGGTTGGATTGTCGTCAAGCAGAAGAACTAACTCCGTATCTAGAGGTGGTCACCGCTTCCTGTGAATTTAACTGACCAACCAACTAGCAGCTGGCAGAATTAAGCTTCGGAACAGCATTTTTGATCCTTAACTTCCAAGGTCAGCATTCACGCAACAACACTCGAACAAACACCATCACCAATAACAACATAGTGCGTACCAACATACAGAGATCTGTCCTATGGTGACAGCCAATCCATAAGGAATTAGTTTGGACTAATTCGCTTTCTTTATTCTTCTTTCACTTAAGTATCATGGGCACCAATCCATCTACTTGATGTTATCTTCCTACTTCTAATCACTCTACATTTCCACTATCTTGCAAAAATACTCCTAAGTCGAAGAGCAAAACAATCAGCAATGGCGCGTCCACTCAATCCCAACCTTCCGGCATTCAATCTTGCTATATCCACGTTATTCCGCAACCCATCCCTCTTCGTTCCAAACCTCACAATCCCCACCTTCCTCCAACTCCCAGAGGAAAACCTGGGCGCTCACCTTGCTCCCTCCTCATACTTTTCCACCGCTACAAATGATGCGAATCGACATGATTCCCCACCTAAAATCCACGCGCTCGTTATCGACAAAGACAACACGCTCACGCCTCCAGAGTCTCGCATAATTCCACCCACCTACTTGGAAAAGCTCAAAACGCTCCGCACCAACCCTTCCTCTCCCTTCAACATGGACAGTAACCCTTATGGCATTCTAATTGCCTCCAACACGGCGGGCAGCAATCCAAGCAACTCCCTTTATGAAGAGGAAGCAAAGCATTTGGAATCAATTTTATCCCATCTTAAAATTCCAGTTTTTAGATCTGGTGTACCTGTGGGAGCAGTTCGATCTAATGAAAGTTCCAAGACGCCGCCAAAGTGTCACCCGCTAAAGAAGCCATTTTCCTACCCTGCCATACTTGCACACCTTCGTGCCCAAAAGGTTGTATCCTCTCCTGACGAGATTGCAGTAGTTGGTGACCGTCTTGGCACTGATGTGATTATGGCTGGTCTCATGGGATCGTGGAGCATTTGGACGAAGAAGGGGGTGACTGTTGGTGTTGAAGGGGAGGATGAAGGCAAGGAGGGTATGGATTTTAGAGGGACATTGGCGAAACTGGAGGTGAGGTTAGAGCGGTATCTGAGACGGAGAGGCGTTGCGCCTGCGGTGCCGAAGGGGTGGGAAGGCGGAGTCTAGCCCACGTATGAAGTTTGTATTCTTGTAAGTATACGGTTGTATGTCTATTTTTGGGTTTTCTGGAGGTCTACAGAACATACTAGAGAATGTGTATTAGACAGCGGATGATATTCGATGAGAGCCGTATTTGTTTGCGACTTTTGGAAGAGGCAAAATGACACCAACTACACCAGCTATATACACAAAGCAAGGTATGTCATTTTCTCGATCACATATACTATACTAATTAATCCGGTTTCTAACATAAGCCATAGACTGTTTTTTCGTCATTTTGCAGATAGCAGCTTGCGTCTTGTTTGTTCTGCTAGTCGCAATTTGCTAGACTATGATTTCCATTCCTCGGTCTCCGACATTGTACCGAAGCAATTGATTCCTCCTACTGTATTCATAAACCCCAATTTGATATAGCTGGCAACGAACATCATGGAGGAGTTTCTCCATACATGCCTTTCATCCCAGACACGGCCTCTGCGACGCAACCACGTAAAAATGTACATCCAACGTATTCCCGGCTCTAACCCTTTTGCTTGGGAGCGACAAAGTTCACTTAACCAACCTCGGTGGAGTTCCAGTTATTCGTCAGGATCGTTCTCACCACAACCCTCTAGTACCGTGTTATTACTTATTTCTATGCGATCAAGGGATTAGGTTTGAATTTAAGTCCCGCTTTTAGTCTCTATGCTAGAATGGAGCCAGCAAGTCGTTTCCAGGAGGGCAAAACTAGAAATGAGGTGGGGTATTTGGAAATTCAGCCGCTCTGTGTGGAGTTACCCACTGCTTTGATGCTTGGTGTCTTTGAAACCCAATCGATCGTGACTGAGCTTGTGAACAACGTCTCAGAAGTACGAGAAACTATTTAGATTACAGATAGCATTTCCAACCCCCTGTTGTGGGTCTCGAGCCAACTGAACGCAGTCGAGCGAGTGTTCTGTCAAAGTCTCTGAAGTTGTTAGAATATGGAAGATATTTACCGATATTCCTACTGGATGTTGGTGAGCTGAGGCACCTGAAACGCCACTGATTGTGGGAGTACTGGGCCATGCGGAATTATCTGTGCCAGCGATTAATTTCTTCTCGTCGGGTTGCGAAGTATCCAGACATATTAACCCATTATGACGCAGTTTGTCGCAAGTCTGCCCCGCAGCTTAGGATGATGCTTGAAAGTATTGTTATCTGGTTACTTGGAATGTCAGGAACTCTGTTGGTTATGATTTTGAACGAACTTTTGATACGAGTGAAAAAGGGGAGTGAAAGTTTTTCCACCACCCGAGCTTGTGCGATATTATCTTGAGGTAAAACTCTAGAGGCCTGGCCCGCAGGTAGAGGATTTCGAGAAGGGACGGTTGCTTTCAAATGCAGCAAGCAATACCCCAACTGAGGTTTCTAGGGATGTTAATTAGCTATACGGGGAAGCCTTTGGACGCCTATTGACGCTTATCGAATGATGACCTTTGTAGTTAACAAACGCCCTACCAAAGAGCTCAAACCGGTTTCTATAATCATACACCTGTTTACATACTTGGGACGAAGCGATCAACCGGAATACGAGGAGAACCCACGGAGAAATCTTTTGATTTTGATAAGGTCAAAGAATACAGCGACAATGCCATGTGTTACTGCATGATATAAAGTAGTCATTGCACATGGTACTTCAAGAGCTAGATTTCTCTTTGAGGTGGATTTCAGGTAGTTATGTGTCATGCTCCGAAAACAACATGCGCTGCAGCAGGAATTAACAACATTCAGGAGTTAGAAGCCAGCGGCCCCATCATGATGATGAGATGTACAAGCAATAACTAGACTGCTGTACCTGTTAATGTAGCTCTTACAATGGCTATAGGAGCTAGTTTTCACAGGTAATGGAATCAAGCAGCAGCAGCCGCAACAACACGCAGCTGTGCCATAGCATCAGGCCCAACATCTTGGAACCGAGTTGGGAATAGCCAAGTCATAGCATGTTATGTCGTAGCATTGCATGCAAGGGGTTTCATACCACGCCATCAGATGAACCTGGATACAGCAACGCCTCCACGGGAGATGGACACGAACACGGACATAGGTTCAGATACAAATACGTGCAGACACGCAATATGATGAATCAGTTGAGTCCGTATGCTGGTATTGGTGATGCTGTGCATGTGCATGATGAACCTGATTTCTTTGTTTCGTTTGAACAAACTGGATACTCGTTCAACCGGGGGGAATGGAGGTAACTAGTTTTACTATGTACGTATTCTCGATGCGTGGCTGAAGAGAGAGAGAGAGTGATAGAATCTCCGAGTGTTTTGGGAGGTGATACAGATCATATCAACGAGAATCCATGATATCGTTAGGCATAACCGATGATCTTATAAATCTCCAAGGAGGATGGAAGTTAAAAAAAAAAAAAATGGGACCAGTTTGCACCCGTTTCCCTCACACTCAGATGTTTCACTTTTCTTTCATTCCTGTTCCTCGGTATTTAGGAACTAGTTACCTGCGTTTTCTTTCAAACGCCCTGCCTACCTACCATACTACTATCCCGCATCCCGTAGCACCGTAGCACCGCATTACCGCGTCTCATCTGGCGCAGAATGCACTTCGGAAGAATAGGCCGCACGTTTATGAAATGACTTGTATGGGCATGCCCACCCACGTCGTATATGTGCATGTAAAAGCTTTCTCCATGGCATTGGGCCGCGAGATCTTAAAACTGACGGGCCGAAATCACTTTTCACCTTCTCTGAAAAGGGGAATGTGTTGAAATGCGCGTGCGGAGGTGGATCCAGAGGCCCAGCTCTGATGGGGGCGATTGGAGGCCCTACCTACCCCTGAAAGGATGCAATTTATGAAGGGATTACGAGATAGAGAGGGGAGATTGGGGACGAATGGAAATATTTGGTGTTTCCTATATTCAGTACTATTCAATGCAATAGCTAGCCAGGGTGGTAAACACCACTTCAAGAAGTGAACTATGACTGTATGCGAAGGAGACATATAGTTCATGCGGACTTTAGAGGAGCTTGAAACCAAAACCCTAAGCGAACGTTTGTTAAGTTTTAGCAGGCTAACTACGGAGTCGCTATTAGTGTGCGAGTTGAAGTTATTGCGTATTATGGCGTTTATATTTTTGTGAGGAACTAGGCTTAGCGAAGAGACGATAATATTTAACTGATCATAGAATAATTGTGGCAAATGAGAGCAGGACACTGAAGTAGTTAGCTATCTTTTATAAAAAAAAATAAAAAAAAAACATAAAAAAAAAAAAAAATAAAAAAAAAAGGAAAAGGAAAAGAAAAGAAAGGAGAAAAAAGCAATGCGAAGTTAGGGATGTCAGATGTATGTAAGATGTCAGCGAGTCAAAGACAGGGCTACAACATCCATGGGAAACTAGAAGATTTATGGATGTCACCCCGTTGTCGGATTGCAGGGTAGGGGTGGGAACAGAGAAAAGTATAATCTGTGTTCTGTACTGTCCATAGTAGTTAGTTAAAAATAAGACATATCTTCAACTAATAACTGGAGCGATGGAATGGGAGGTTACGTAGTTACATGTTCTGGCAAAGAGGTAATACAGAAGGGATTGGATATAGAAGAGCTAGGGCACAGCTTATATGTAAGTTAGATCGTGCCTTGTTACATAACTGCCCTATAATCATCAGTTCTCCGCAACGTTGCGATGCATTGTTGCGAAAGGGACTAAAGGTACCCAGTTTCATATCTTCGTTACTGTACGGAGTACGTTGTACTGTACGTGTACGTTCGATTTTTTCATCTTTTCCCAAAGGTCAGACATGCCGCAGATATTTAAAAGAGCAACTAAATGTAAACCAAAGTGCATGTAGATGATGTGCAGTACCACAGAGTGTTATTTGTGCCTTGCAGTGTCTTTTAATAGAGCCACTCAAGTAACCCAGAGGTTTTATCTCTTCCTTCCTTCTTTCTTTGCCACCCCGGTATCAATGTTTACGTCTTTTGCGCCTTTTAAGAACGTTGCGCCATTTGAGCGTGGTGTCTGCTCGTGTGTCCAGGATGCGTTGTCAAAGTCAAAAGTTTATAAAAGGAATAGTTAAATATAGGCAACTCAGTTAGAGGCTGACAACGGATAATGGTTGGTTCGGTGACTGGGTTTTGATGGCAATAAGGTCTCAGCTGGCAGCTTCGCAGATGGGCCAAATAGTAAACTATCAGGCCCAATGGCTATTAGTTAAAAAAAAGTAGTCGGTAGAATATAACAATAGGTCGATCATCCGTTCGTTCGGTCTTCGCCCCCTAAACCTAACTTGAGCTAATCTGATAACTCCGTCCTTTTTGTGCCATATGGATGGGATGGTTCTTTACTTGGTGACACGACATGATATACGAACGTTCTCCTTTTCCGTTTCCCTTTCTTTCTTGTACGGAGTACATGTAAGTGTGTCTGAATCTGTAATGTGCTGAGTCTGCCTGCATCCGATATCGAAAGAAGAGAATTAGGCAAGTTCAGGCACCTCCGAAACCAGCTCGTTTGTAGTAAGATCTCCCGGTACCTGGGCGTAGTTTTGCAGCATAACATAGTAGTTATATGCAAAAAGAGTTCGGATGGGAAGAGATAGATGATGGGATCATGGCTGGGATGCTCAGTAGGGTGCCTAATGTCTCTGCCTGTTCGCAGCCAACCAGACGCTGGGATCCGCCCTACCCGCTTACAGACGACCGACCTCCGAGGTCCCCTCTAGGAGACGACACATGGATGTTTGTCCACGCCACCTGGCCTGCTGGGCGACGCAGGCCCTGCGCATCCCTTCCTTGGAGTCGGCGTGGGTTCTTGAGGCTTTGGTTTGGGCAATCAGGGCAAGGTTCCAGGGATCCACTCTTCGTACCCACATCTTGATTGGGATAGCCAATCAACAGCTAGATACCCCTGAAAACTAGGCTGGATTGGGGGATGGTTTCTTGAAACACTAGTTTGGAACGGGCAAGGTGTTTGTATCCTGGTTGCGTGGTGTTGGATGGAGTCTTGGTGAGTCTGGTTGAGTCTGGAGAGTCTGGTAAAGGCCCGCCGGTTTGGTGTGGTTTGTCTCGCTGTGGGTTGTCTAGTTCCTGGCTGCTCTTCCAAGCAACGACCTTTTTTCAACCTCCTCCTCTCCTCTTCCTCTGCTTCTTCCCTCGTCATCCTCTTCTTTTCTTCCTCCTCCCCAAATCCTATTCCGGTCATCCTTTTTTTTTTTCCTTTCCTTTTCTTTTCATTCTTTTGTCTCTCAACTATTCCTGGTTAAGTCCGTTCACTCATTTACGGCTTGCCAATAACCCTCTTTTTTACTATCTATTCTTCCCTCCCATTTTTCCATACTCTTTTTTCGTATCGTCCAACGAACATCCCCCGGCCCACCTGCCGCCCCCTTCACTACAGCCCATCTCATCGTCATCTCCTCTTGGCTCGACTCGTATATATAGATATACGTTGGTAGAAAAGAGATAGAGAGAGAGAGAGAGAGAGAGACGCTCGACTTTAGGCATATACACCTTCTTTTCGCTGCCTTGGCTCAGCCTCTCTTTTCACATACCATTCATTCTTTTCTCGGCGGCTCAACCATCAATGCTATCACCATCATCCGGTCTCTCATCGATAATAGCATACAGGATAATCAGCCCTGCGAGAGGATAACACCATCGACCTGTCGACAGACTCTGGGGTTGTCTGGTTGATTTATTGGGCGCCAAACACATCCTATTATATATTCTACGCTCTCTGCCTTCCCCTCTTTGCCTCATCGGAGTGCGGGGGAAATTCTATCCTTTTTTTCTTTTATAAAGAGCAGAGAGAGCCACCATTACATTTATCATCTATACTTATTCTATTCTTCATCTCTCCTTTTTCTTTCCACTTTATCAGTTGATTTTCATTTCGTTTCTATTATTCCTCCCTCTAGCCTCTTCAACTGGATATATCCGCTCATTATTACCTTAACAAACCTTGCCTTTGCCTTGCCTACATTCGATTCGAGCTTGACGTCTCGATAAATTATACGAATTGACGACTATTCCCACCTGTCGACCGGCTCGCGACAGGATTTATTCCACACCTCCAGTCCCCCTTTTCCCAGGTGGCGCAATCCACTCGGACATTTCTTTTTACAACTCCAATTCAGTCGCACCGCATCGTGTCGCTCGTTCCAATATTCATTCTTTGACATAAATAATGGCTTCTTCGACTACAGAGCCTGTGCCTAATTCCACGGCCACCACCATATCAAATAGCAACTCGACTTCCATGACACCAAACAATACAACCACAATGAGATCGAATCCTTTATCCTCCACAAATGCCTCCATAACATCTTCCGTGCATCAGAATCGCGTTTTCCGTCGCCCTCCAAGGAAAAGCACCTTGACCCAGCAGCAGAAGAACCAAAAGAGGCAGCGAGCAACCCAGGATCAGCTCGCTACTCTCGAAATGGAGTTTAATAAGAACCCGACCCCCACTGCTGCTGTACGTGAGAGAATTGCGGAGGAAATAAATATGACTGAACGATCCGTTCAGATTTGGTTTCAGAATAGGTGTGTTCGCTCAGGCATACTATTATATATATTGATCGATACACACCCCTATCTATGAATATTTTGGAGAGGCATCACTAACAACATACAGACGAGCCAAGATCAAGATGATTGCGAAAAAGGGTATTGAATCCGGTGAAGACTGTGATGCAATTCCCGAGTCAATGCGCCAATATCTTGCCCTTCATTTTGACCCATCGAAATCAGATGCCCGCAATCTATTTAATAGGGGATATGGCACCGAGATGCACCAGTCTGCATCTTCGGGTAAAACGGGTAGGCAGTCGCCAGTTTCTCAAATCAAGTGTGGTTGGGTAGACTAAACTGACATCTTAAAATAGTAATCCATCACCTTGAGTGCGGTTCTCTGAGAATTGGATCATGGTGCCGTGTTGCTCAAACTGCCATGGATCTAATAATCTTTTACTGCCCGGCAAAAGGTATCGTGACGTATTATATCCACAATGACTCTGCCGGATATAAGATCGAATACCCGTTCGCTTTTATAAAGAATATCGTTTTGGAGTCAGGTGATCCCGTCCCTGGTCCCGATGGTACCGGCCCGAGAACTAGAGGATTGGTCATCGAACTAAACCGCCCACCAAATTTCTACATGGATTTACAAAATAACGGCGGCTTTTACCAATGCAGGGACTTCACAGAGAATCAACAGGCTACAAAATCACTGGTCCACTATTTGGGCGGTCCCCCAAAGACACTCAGCATCCAGCTTGCCAACCTAGTTTCCCTTGAGTCTTTCCAGAACCGGCTGGTGCAATACGATTTCAATGGCTATGCCGTCTCCGCACCCGTCTCCCCCCACCTCCTTCACAGACCGGCATCCCAGCCAAACCAGCTTGTCAGGCCCACTTCATCCATGTACCACCAAGAGAACCACAATAGGAATAACCACTTCGGCATGAACTTACATCCTGGTCATGCACACGGGCACAAGAGACAACGGAGCCGCTCCGTCCCTGCACTTATGGATTTTGCCTCCATGACGCCCATACCGTCCTTCCACATCCAACACCCATCCACCCAGTTCCAACCGGACCCAAATATCTTCGCCCCCATACCCATCCCACAATCCCGCATCCCCCATAATCATATTGCAAATAATGACCTACTCATCGACACCTCGGCCAGCTATGCTGTGGATTTTAGAGCATTCCCTCAGCCCCCCATGTCCGCAACTACCGTAGCAACGACGTCCACAACAACTACAGCTACAACTACAACAGACACCTCGTCGGAATTCGCTAACCCCCAATTCTTCCCCACGAACGCTCCACAGGCTCAAAATCAGCAATCTCAACAACATCAACAATCTCAATCCCAGCCGCAACATCTCGGAACTCCATACAGCCTCCCTTTCCTGTCCCAGCCATCTCCCACCACCGGACCCATGCTCGAGCAGCAGCCAGGACTACTACGACCCTCTGGATCGCCACTATCCCATCCTTATGTAAACGTTAGCCAAGTGGAACCGATGATTGCTAATGCATCGCCGCCACTTTCGACGCTTCATGGTGCTGGCATGGGCGCTGATGTGGATGAGGAGATGTTTTCGTTGTCATTGAGTGCAGAGCACATGGGTGGTTTTCCTGACAGTGTAGAAGGGACTGGTGGTAGTGATGGGGCAAGTGTTGTCAGAGGTGACGGTGATAAGGAAAGTATTATGCTTAGCGAGATATATGCGAAGCACAAGCTTAATGCCCATATGGATTTGGGAATGGGGATGAATCTTAATATGGGGATGGGGGGAGGGATGGGGTTGAATATGGGCAGGATGGGGATGGGCGTGGGTATGAATCTACCTATGCATGGTCATGATGCTGGTCAGCATTCACCGCCGATGGACGATGATAGCTTCGTGCTTGCGTTTCAAGGGTTGCAGGATCATGAGCAGCATGATGATCATCATGATATTGAGATTGACATTGATGAGAACGAGAACGGGAGTGGACATGGGCGGGGGCATTCGCCTGTGCATGAGGGTGATTACCATGGTCTGCTGCCGTTTGAGAATGGAAATGGGAATGGGACTGTTGATCTGGGGAGTCTTGTCGCTGGCGTTAGTGCTGGGGAGGGTTGACCCATCGGCATCAAAACCCAACCGACTCTGACAAAGTGAATGGCGACATCGAGTGATTCTGTTTTCGTGTCCCGGGTAGACGGGTGTGGGTATGGGTATATATTATTCATTACTTTACTATGTTCGTTTGAATATCTCTTTGCTTTTTCTCATTATCCACCGCCACCGCCTATTTTGCCCTGTTCTTCTTGTTTTGGGTTTGCATCATGGATCTTGATTCTTATTTCTTCTGATTGAAACTCAAAACTTTTACAAGCCATCCCATCTCATTTTCTCATTTCTATACTTCCTTAATGTCCTTCATATATTATATATATTCCCCCCCCCCTCCCCCCCCAAATCTCCCTTTTCTCATTCTCTGTCAAACATTTGCTATCATCAATCTACAGGCAGGCCCGGTAGGTACAAGAAGACAACACTGGACCTTCCCTAACCCACCATTCACTGCCTTTTTTACCCCTTTCTGTCATACGTGTGCAGTGGCTATTTTGTTGTTTCTCCTCTCATTCGTTATTTTTGTTCCTTCTATTCTATGCCATGTCATAGTTCTTGACATGCACTTTTTCATTTCTTCTCATTTATTTTCTCTTCTCTTCTCTTCACTTGTTCTGCTTTTTTCTGGTGTTTTTGTTTTACCATTATCTCTTGTTTGGTTCTTCTTTTCAACCTCTCTCTTCTTCTTTTTTCTTCTCTCTTCATTTCTTTTTATATATTGTTTTATGTGAGCATGTAGGAAAGAAGGGACTTCTAATTTATTCTATAGCTGGGATAAAGGGGTAAATCGGACTGAAGCGTTATTTTCCTTTCCCTATTTTTGGTCTTAGTTTCTTTCTTCTTTTATTTTCTTTTATTTTTTTTTTCCTTTATTGTTATTATTCTGGAGGATGGATGGATGGATGAAACCATGATTTTCCTTAGTATCTCTTTTCACTTCTTTTTTTCATTTCAGATCGTGATATTATATGTTTCTCTTTTATGTTTTGTTTTATCTTTTCTTCTTTTCCTGCTTGAAATTAACTTGGGTTTTGTTGTGATTTCTATTATAGTAGTATATCAATTACTGTATGTGTACTCTTTTACCTTTTATCTCATCCATTGAAGAGGGTTGATGAACTGTATTTATCAATCTTATTCTTTGTAAAATAGCTACGATGAAATCTAGTAAGAAATCAATTGAGAGCCCAAGAAGAGTAATAGCTAGAGGGCCGGGGATTCGCGTTGGCCACGAGATGTGAGATTGGATAATAGGATAGTATAGTAGCAGCATTAAAGGGAATATGTCAAGACGGAATTGTTTCCCTGGACGTGTTGTTACCTGAGTTTTTCTCTATCGTGGACTACAATCCGCCTGCTGTGAAATGCCTTGAGTGGGGATGCCATCGCACATAACAACCTTGTTATATGGAGCGAGTGCTTTTCTTGCGGGGCTTTGGCCTTCTCCTCCGCCACGGTCCTGAGATATCAGCACGTCTTATCGACGCAGTATGCGCTAGAAAATATCCTACTTAAGGGGGAGAAAATGGGAGGAGGAAATCGAGGAAATCGCAAACTGGAAAAAC